TGAAGCACTTTGGGCCTGCTGCTCAGTGCTCAGCAAAACAAATCTCACCAAAAATGGCGCGCAGAGGCTTCATCAAGTCTAAGTTGATTTGCACAACCTCTGTATTGAATGCAGCTTTGCCTGCAATTCACCAGCGGACACTTGGACTGGCCTCAACTTCCGCAAGCTTTTCTCGCAGTTGAGGTACCTGGTGATGCAAGTGGTGGAGAATCCAATGTAAGCTCAGCTTTTGGTATTGTAGACACCCTGTCGAAATGCATCTGCTCCGAAACAGAATCCCACCTGTGCCGCTTCTTCTTTCAGCCGCTCAATCTCCAGCCGATATTGCTCAGCAGCAGCACCAGCAGAGGCAGCACTTTGAGCCTTGGATGCTGAATTTCAGCTTTCTGTGCAAAGACCTGTTTAGGAGCAAACGGCCCAAAGCAGCAGGAATAGCACTGTACAAAGAATATGCCCTGGCTGTTTATACCAAGCAAAATGCGAATGCCCTGGCTGAATGCAAACACATCAAACAGTAAGAAGGGTTCAACCGCCTATCTAGGCATGTGGTCCTGCACAAACAGCTTGCATATATCATATGTTTCTGGCGTTTGTTGCTGATGTGGCTAGCCCCGAGAGCCTTTGCATGAGTCATTCAGCACACGTCCATCCTGTGTCATCAAGCAATCCCAGCCTCGAGTTCTGCAAGCTTGTCTTTGAGCTGCTGCACCTACGACGACAGCATGCAAATGTCACATCACTCCCACCACCTGACTCATATCTGTTCCAGTCCCATATAGAAAAAACTGCGACGCATGCTGGGGAAAAGGCCTGCCTGTGCTGCTTCTGCTTTGAGGCCGTCAAGCTCTTGTCGCTGTTGCTCTTCTCCGGCCCTGGCTGAAGCACTTCGGGCCTGCTCAGAAAGGCAACACATAATCAACATTATGTTTATCTGCTTTCAACAGCATCGTATGAATCCAGTTGTTTGACTGCAACTGACCAAGCCTCAGCTTCCGCCAATTTTTCACGTAGTTGAGGCACCTTGTGTCATTGTCAGATTTAAGAATATGGACAAAAACATGCATGTCCAGTTTGCACTTGCTTAGGTGATTGAACACGCCAGGCGGAAACCCGCAGCACAGGCGTTTCACCCGCGTGTCGGATCAGCCCATCCCCTGACCCCGCGGCCTGCGCTGCTTCTTCCGTCAGGCGCTCGATCTCGGCGCTTTGAGCCTCGAACTTGACGAGTCGACCGATGGCACCTTGACCGGTGTTCAATAAAACAAGGGGAAGAAGTGCTGGAGATGATACTTTCTGGCTTTTTCTGGAGATTGTAACCAAATCTGAAAAAGAATCGCCCATCAACCAGACGATAAACACATCTATTCCACGCTTTACCTCATTGCCCAAACTGAACAGGGTCGCAATGGCATATAATGGGTTTGCTGCATCGTAGTGTGTCAAACGATCTGTCTTGGTGTTTGTTCAGGGGATTTTAGCTGCGAATTCGCTGGGCATTCTGGCTTCCCTAATCCAAAATCCCGAGTCCAGTCCCACCAACGTCCAAACCACTTTTGGGTGGGCACGGGTCGAAGGAAACTCGACGGGGCAATCGACATCGACATTGGTCGGTCTTTTCACATTCTTCCGCCCAGAAAAGGTCTTCCCCCATGATGATGGAGAGATGGCGGTCTGTTCCCCAACAAAAGGCCTGCTTCTTCCGCGATGGAGCCCATTCTTTTCCGCTTTTGCGTGAGAAAGGAGAGACTTCGGAACAGGGCGAAACACCGTCCGGACTTCGCCAAAGCAACGCGAATTGCCCCTCACATTGAGCAAGAATCGGTGCTGTGTCATTCCGGAGTGAGCTGGACCGCTCCCATCCACACCCCCCCAGAAACTGTCCAGGCCCTCTCCTTTTCCACCTGGGACTTGACCGTCTGCAATTCCTCGGAGGCGAAAACGGAGCTCGCCACAAACGAGGGGCCGAGACTGGAAATTGATTGGTTGGCCGGAAGACCCCTCGCGGACCAGGGTCGGGATGGTCACTTCTGGGGTTTGAAGAAAAGCAAGGGGGAGGAGCCTCAATGCACTTTAACACGTCCAGGAAGCCAGACGGATTCTCTTCAATGCTGCCTGAACTGCCTCCAGAAAGAATCAATGCCCGCAGCGACACACTGCTGTTAGATCCAGGAAGCAAGGCAGCTGCACCATTCACTGAGATCCAGCTCAAATTGAACTGAGACATAATGAGAATGCAGTGCGATACAAACCAGACCTCACCCTCACCATGTTCCAGGTCTCCAACTAACACGCAACTCAATCAGGAGCTACAGTACAAATCACTTACCACCCGTCTTCCATGCCCCGACAAATGCCAAAGCCACCCGTTTAAACTGCCAAGCCACGTCCTTCAGCGCCTGGCTGGGGGTGTTCTGCGCTTGTTCCACCACCCAAAAACACAAACGAAAATCAGGAGGGATGGCCAGAACCAAAATATCCTGATATCCTCGTTCGGCCTAGGTGGCGGAACCCACCGACCTCCGCGCGCGGTTGCGCTCCCAGCGCCTGTGCTTGGGCCTTCTCGGCCTCCAACTCCTGTTGCACGGATTGGACCTGGCTCGGAGTCTATCCGCTCTCCTACCCCCGACTGCGATGTGCTGGGACAAAAACCAGACCAAAGTCCCGCAAAGATGGAACATCCGCAGAAAACAAGATACGGAGTACTATTGAGTAGTATTGAGTACTATTGAGCGTCTTTTTGGTTGTGCCACCGTGACCCGAACTAGCTTCTGCGTTTGAACTTGCTGGAATCATTTGGACAAAGGATGCACTTTGCACAAGGGTCTTGAGACTTAGCCACAACTTGGATCCCTCCTTGTTGTTGTCGTTTTGACCATGGACATCTTTCCATCGGCCAAGGATACCGTGCCTTTGCATTGCTTTCGTCCTTGAGCTTCTGAAAGGCTTCCCTGGTGCGTTCCTTGCACGGGCGACCGAACGACCCAACGCTGGCCTGCCTGTCATCACCGGCCCCACTGAACTGCATCGTCCACTGGACGTGCGCGACGTGCAGTGAGTCTTCGCCAGATTTGGGGCATGGCTGAAGATTGTTCCGCAGGATGTTCAGGGCGGAACACTGGAAATGAACGCTTCACCAGCTCAACACTGGAAATGAACACTGCAACACTGCAAAAAAATCGTTCCACCAAATCGGTGCAAATCCACACACGCTTTCCTTGATGTGTTGACGTCATCCAACGTCATCCAACGTCAGTCAAGACGAACGTCGGAAAGAGAACGCAACGTCTCGGTCCGAGTTGTCCAACCTCAGCAACCGGTCACTGTCTCAGGTGTGTCTCAAGAGAGGGGGACCCTACAGCCATACTCCTGAAAACGCCTACAGAGTTGTACTGGGCCTGGAATGCTCAAACCAAAAAGAACTGCCTTTGCTCCCCAGCAAGTTTTTCTGCCACACAACGAACCAAATATGCCCATCCATCCCAACAAAGTGCTCAAGATTCCCAAGATTCTCACCAACGAGTCTAATTGTTTGCATTGAATTTCATATTGATAATCACGAAGTAATTAGTAATTATCTGAATTGAATAATATGGGTACCTATAATTGTTTTGTATGATCAAACGTTGTCATATTGAAAAATAATATACCATGACTCGAGGCTGTCGCGCCTTCAAACGCTGTTGCTCCACAGCTCGCCTCTCTTTCTCCTCCTGAAGTTGCGCCTCAAAGCACACCAGCGCAAAGCACAGCATGTTTCAACCCGGTGGGGTTCTTCAGCCCAAAAAGCACCCGCTATAACCCGCCAAACCAGGCAGGTTTTATCTGGTCACAGCTAGTGTGCATTCGTTCATCTTCATCTCGTTACCACCTGCCTTGCATCGTGAACATCTTTCAATTGGGCTTCATTGATGTTCTTGCTCCCACAGTAGCTGGTCGGTCCGCCGAACCCAGAACTCCACTCCACTCGGTGTGCCGAACGTGTTTTTCTTTCAAGAACAAACCACGGGAAAGCACTCAATGCATTATATGTATTGTGCACATATACATGATTTCAGGTAAATCGCGTTTTGGTGATGTTCTGTCTGCAAACTTGCTGTTGTCTGTGGGTCTTGCTAGATCGACCCAGCCAAAACATTTTGTTTGTCGAAGGTTCCGATCTCCAATTCAACACCTAGCTCCAAAACAAGCTCGACTACAATGACCTCCAGACCGACAGGTCTTTTCCTCCTCCTCCTCCTCCCCAATTCAAGAAGCCATCTTCTTTGACCTAACTATATGAGCCTCGGACCTCAAGCTTCTGCTTCTCTTCCAGCAAGGCCTGAAGCTCCTGGCCAAGCCACGGAAAGGGAGACACTGCAAAAGAGAAGCCATGGATGGAGAAAAGGAAAATTTCAACCCATTAGATACGCATTCTTCCAATTGGGCCTGTTGATCGTTAGCTTCGTGCAAAACGCACCCACCCCAACCCCACCCATGGCTTGACCGGGATGATGTCAGAAAGAATGACTCCGAATTCCGAGGTCAGGATGGCATTCGGATTATCCGTGGGTTGTTTCTTCATGTTTCTTCCCCGTTTCTGCTGTGTCTGAGGGCCGAATTTGTTTCACTTACCGAAAAAAATTGTACGCTTCCCGCACATAGTCCTTCCTTCTACACCCCCACGCCTGTGCTCTAGATCCGATTGCACCAGGGTTCGCCGCAACCAAATACATCTTCCAAGGCTCCAAATCCCCCGATCAACCAGCACTGCCCCGCAGACCCGCCTCCGCCATGGCGGGCCGCGGTGCCGCGGAGACCCGTCTCAGTCCACAGCGTCTGGTCAGCTCGATGCGTTGTTGGATTCCAATGGGATGTAATGGGCGCCACCTTTAAAGAAGAAGGACAGCAGGCAAAAGCATCAAGAAGTGGAATTTTAAATGGAAGACGGACCGACGCTAGGTATCTACCTTTCGTTACGTACTGCTTCTGACGCAAAATCAGACTCTCATGTATCAGCGGGCCATAGCAGCAACCGCCCATAGCAGACATGTGGGAGTCTCAAGTTGCACGTGCTGAACCAAACACCAAACATGATCATTTTAGTGGGCGGTCATCCAATATCGAGATCAAAAGCTTATTGGCTGTAGAATGCTTGAGCCCAAAAAAGCTCAAACGCACAGAATTGGCAATCTGCTTTTTGCCAAAATTCCATGTTGCACCAACTGTTTGAGCCATGTCTTGACTGAAGCATTGTACTGAAATATGACATGCTCGGCAAGCAACGCTGTGCCGTGAATGCGTTTGAAGAAGTCACTGAACCGTACTACTTGGTGGCCTCGAGCACACTAGTGGAGTGAGGGCTGACATGGGCGAAAAATTGCGAAAAGGTGCGGCTTGCGCAGCATGTTTTCCCGGCAGAAGCATGCGTTTCGTCGATCAGAGGAGGTGGCGCTTTTGGGTCTTTGGATTTTCCTCAAGAACCTCAAAGGCGTAGGGTAGCGTAGCCAATCAGCAACTCAAAGGCGTAGCGTAGGAGATCGTCCAATTGTCCATGTAGATGGTCTCCAGGCACTTGAACTTGAGGCGGCTCAAGGCACTTCGGGTGTTTGGCGCCAAGTCGTTCCCACGCAGATCCAGCCATCTCAGCTGTGGTTGACCTTAATGTAGACTCGTGATTCTTGATGAATCAAACCCCCCCAGAAGTGGATGCACGAACTTGCGGACCGTCCAATCACGGGCGCGCCCACACCCTCCCTTCCCTGATATTCAGGGGGGTACGGATGTGAGACCAACAACAGGGGTGAAGTTGGGCCCTGTTCGGAATATGTACAAAGGAGACCTACGCTACGGATGCATCGAAAGAGCTGTGGACAAAGTAAAAATAGAATAAACAAAGACCGGACTTGAGAAAGAGCAAAGAGAACGGCAATCGTCGGAGACACATACCCAAACCAAATGATGCAGAACTCTCCTGAAATGACCTATGAGTACCAACGCCATGTGGCCATTGGGCCTCTTGTCAGAATTGGAGAGTAAATTACGAATTGCCTCGAGAAACCGGAAAACACCCGAGTACAGGTCATGACGTAGATGTATGTTGAGATACTCGGGTTTAGGCTTTCTTCGCTATAAAGCTGCCTGGGCTGCATGTCCAAGACAGGGGCATCTAATTCGGGGCCGGTGGTGGCCGTACAGAGAATGGCTCTAATTAGTGTTCGGATGTCGGAAATGATCGAAACCCTTCTTACGGAAATGTGCATTTCGAACGTTCTGCAAAAAATTTTCTCGGCGGTCTGCAGCAATCTCCGGCCAGTTGGGCCACGTGGGTCTATGCACGGATTCTGGCACGGGTGGCATGTAGACCTCTGTGTTATAAGGGGGATTATGTGGCATGACGCTGAGAAGATCATGGATAAAGTCGTACGTCTGGCTAACATTTGGCAGATTTGGTCGTCTTGAAATACCACCCTCGTGGTATGGAGTAAATCCCAAACGAATGAGGCTGGTGGTGCCTTGTTTCTTATATTGAGGAATGATGTTTGTTTTTGAGAAAGTCTGAATATGTTTAATAATCCATCGAAAATTTTCTGCTAGAATGCGGATGGATCGCTGTTTAACTGGGAGCAACTGCGTCTTTTCGTCATCATATGGTAAGATGATGTTACTACTGTTTTCTTTGATTCGGACTGGCAAGCGACATTGAGCCCACAGCATGAATGAAATAGCAAGTTCCGTCCACGAAATGCCTTGTTCCCCGGGGGCCGGTGCCTCATCCGGGTGGGGCCATAGTAGAAGGCCACAGTATGTCCATATCAGGCGTGCCAGGTTCGTCCCCCAGGGGCAGCTCCAGAAAACAACTCGGTGCGGTTCTGGCGGCATGACAAAACTGGAGCCGCGGACTATCCATCCTCTTAATTTTGTCATCTGTTTTTGGTATGCCGTCTGTGCCTGCTGTGAGGCAGGGCCAAGAGTTGTGTGTCTGGAGGAGGATCCAGCGAGATCTTTTTCTTGCTTGGCCATACGCATGAGCGCCAAGTCAACGAGATATTTGTACACGTTTTCGAATATCTTTAGTTGAGACAGTCGGTGCTGTTTGATGTCCGTGCAAATCTGTGAGAATTCTGTGTCATCTGTTTTTCTGACTTTACCGGCTACTTCGTCGGCCAATGAGTTACCATGAATATGCCATGCTTCGATATGCGACGAGGCCGAAATTAGGTCTTTGTGGGAATGAATTTTGAGGATGCGAAACCTAACCGTGTCCCATAATTCAAGCAGGCGTTGTACCAAATCCCAATGAGCTTGTTTGTGTGGATGGCGAAAAATTGTTTCGTTCTGGATTTCTTCGATGATGTTACATACGAATTGCGAGTCTGTGACAAAAAGGACTGTGTGAGTACCCTGACATGCCTGGACCTGCTCAACTGCAATTACCATAGCGAAGAGTTCAGAGCGGTTGATTGTCTGTGGGCCTGGGCAGTGGCCGCATGCTGAAACAGAATAGTTTCGAAACTCGGCATCTAACGGATGTGGGTGGCTGAAAACAACAGCCCATGCTGCTCTAGCGGTGTACGGATCACGAGTGTCGTCGCAGGATCCGTCTGTATAAATAAATGTGCCAGGGCCAGGAGGAATGATCTGCGGGTGTGTTGCGAACGAGGTGCAATTGCGAAGAAACATGGCTTGTCGCGCCATGGGTGTGCAGTGGTGATGTACAGGAAGAGGAAACCAGCACGTGCGGCGGTTTTGCTGCATAAACGAGATCGCTTCGGTGTGGTTCTGTCTGAGGTCGTGGAATTCCGGGCATTCTAAAATCTGATGGCAGTGCGTATCATATGTTTGACACCATGGGCACATCGGGTCTTGGGTGGCCGACCAGTTTGCAATTGCACCCAGGCTTTGCCATCCGGATGTTAAACTCAAGGAAAGAATGCGGCGTTGCCTATCTGTAAACTTTTTAAGCAAGCGAATGGTGGATGTTGAATCGAATGGACAATCGGAAACACCTTTTCTATGAAGAATTTCCTCGTAGCAATACCAGTCCCATGCTATACGTAGTTGTGCGCGAATCTGCTTATTGGAGGATGAGGGAATGGACACGCGAAGACCTCCTGGACCTAACAGCGTTGCATTTGATGTGAGTTCCCACTGCAAGTGCTTGAGATATGCTGCGAGGGCGCTAGCGGGACCTCGGATTTTTCCCTCGAAAGCACGCACGGAGCTGGTAAACTGGTTTGCCATCTTGGGGTAGTAAATATACATTCTGCGAAGAGTAGTCAGGATGTCAGTGATGATATAGAGCAACGGATCTGTGACTCGGTCTGACAAGTAGTGTAGTGCCACGACGCTGGATGCGTGTTTGTGATCGCCTACGAGGACGGAGGCCGCAGCTCGGCGTAGGGAAACAAAATGCTTATGTCCGATCTGTATTCCTAGTGCTCCGTAGAAGACTGCCGGCCAAATTGCTACCTGGATCTTTTCTGCCTTTTCATCAAGTGGCAAGTTAAACCGGCGAAGTCTATTGCATTTGGCCACAGCGTTATCTATCTTATCGCGGAGCGGGCCTAGGACCACTGCATTATTATAGGAAATGGTGCAACCCAAATCATGCGCGTGGCTTTTGATCTGAAATACGAACTTGGGGTCCATGAGCAGGGCTGAGGCCTCTTTCCAGAAAGTTTGGAATTGTTTTGTTGTGGCCCAGCACCAAGACTTCTTAAAATCAATTTGCATCTTGAGGCTTGTTATGAGATTGAGGATGGTTGTCATAGCGGAGAAACAAGCCTGGTCTGATGTGGACATGAAACTCCAGTTATCCGCATATGCGTATGGGAAGAGTCGTGGTGAGCGGAGCTTCGAGTAGAAAACAAAACTGAGGGCAAGCATGCCTACAACTGACATCGAGTCACCCTCGGGAAGGCCTGTTGTCGAGAGGTGAGCCGGCCCCAGGGCTTTGCCGCATTGGAGTGCACGTGTGAGTCGAGTGAGTGATTTGAACCAAAAATCTGTCACGTGCGAAGGAATACCGAGGAGCTTGAAAACATGACTAACGACCTTCCGGGGTATCAGGTTAAATGCTTTAACGAGCTCCATTGTCCAGCCTCCCCAGGCAGTATGATGTGCCTTAGCGTGTTCGATCTGCAATTGTTGCATAAGTGAGAGATCTCTTGCTGATCGACGAGGCAGACCTCCGCTAATTTCGGGTGGCCACAAAGTGGCCCACTGGCTTAAAATCTGGTCAGAAATCATTTTCGAACATAGACGGGCCAAATACCCGAGAATGGTAATAGGCCTACCATCAGCGATGGATGTAGGGTTATCTCTTTTTGCGAATAGCAACGTCCGAGCTTGCATAAAACGTTGTGTAAGACCGAAGTGCCAGACGTTACGAATGAGTGTCGAAAGGTCTTGAACCATTGTCCATGTGAGTGATTGCAATTCTTCAGAATGCCACCCGTCTGCCCCGGCTGCCTTATAGGGCTTAAGACGCTTAATTGAATTCCAAAGGCAGATTGGGCTGTCGAACTGAATATCCAAAAAAGGTTGTAGTGGGATAGTGGCATCTAAATCTTCAAGAAAATCAGACCACGGATCTTCTTCCGTCTGTTCTGTCATCGTGTCCCTCAACCAGAATTGAGACCATCACTTATGCAAACATGATGACATGTCATCAATGGTATATGCATGAGTTGAAAACTGGATCATAGCTTTTGCTGGGATTGTGCCTTTTACTTGATCAATTGTGAGCATGGGTGGCTCACATGTGTGTACAACGGCGGAACAGCTTCCAAAC